GTGGGGTTTGAACCCACGCAGACTGGTATGTCTAGCGGATCTTAAGTCCGCCCCCTTAGACCACTCGGGCAAGATACCACGCCAAACCGCATCAAAACCGACGTCTTGGACGAGCACTTTCCTCCACTCCTGGCGCTTACCACGACAGCGCGACCTCATTTATACTTGCACGTCGACAGCACGCAGCTCATGGGCTGCTTCTCGCCTGCCCGGGGACACCGCAACATCTCTCAAGAAGTGACACCATACCTTCTCCCACACCCAATCTGTCCGACATCAGTCCCTAGCAAATCACGCGTCCAGCTCACCCACACAGGGTCATCAGCCATATATTACCAGGTGGCCCATGTCTCTGGCTCGTGAGGAAAATAAATTACCGATGGCAAAGTGCAGCAGCACACATCCTTCTCAAGTCGCACAGCGCGAATACACGCTGCGCCGCACACAACACCACAAGGTGTAGAAGGATAGCTTTGGTATCTGTGGGGTTTGAACCCACGCAGACTGGTATGTCTAGCGGATCTTAAGTCCGCCCCCTTAGACCACTCGGGCAAGATACCACGCCAAACCGCATCAAAACCGACGTCTCGGACGCGCACTTTCCTTCACTCCTGGCGCTTCCCACGACAGCGCAACCTCATTTATACTTGCACGTCGACAGCACGCAGCTCGTGGGCTGCTTCTCGCCTGCCCGGGGACACCGCAACATCTCTCAAGAAGTGACACCATAACTTCTCCCACACCCAATCTGTCCGACATCAGTCCCTAGCAAATCACGCGTCCAGCTCACCCACACAGGGTCATCAGCCCTAAATTACCAGGTGGCCCATGTCTCTGGCTCGTGGAGGAAAATAAATTTACCGATGGCAAAGTGCAGCAGCACACATCCTTCTCAAGTCGCACAGCGCGAATACACGCTGCGCCGCACACAACACCACAAGGTGTAGAAGGATAGCTTTAATATCTGTGGGGTTTGAGCCCACGCAGACTGGTATGTCTAGCGGATCTTAAGTCCGCCCCCTTAGACCACTCGGGCAAGATACCACGCCAAACCGCATCAAAACCGACGTCTCGCACGCGCACTTTCCTCCACTCCTGGTGCACTCCACGACAGCGCAACCTTATTCCTGCTTGCACGTCGACAGCACGCAGCTCATGGGCTGCTTCTCGCCTGCCTGGGAACACCGCAACATCTCTCAAGAAGTGACACCATAACTTCTCCCACACCCAATCTGTCCGACATCAGTCCCTAGCAAATCACGCGTCCAGCTCACCCACACAGGGTCATCAGCCATAAATTACCAGGTGGCCCATGTCTCTGGCTCGTGAGGAAAATAAATTACCGATGGCAAAGTGCAGCAGCACACATCCTTCACAAGTCGCACAGCGCGATTACACGCTGCGCCGCACACAACACCACAAGGTGTAGAAGGATAGCTTTGGTATCTGTGGGGTTTGAGCCCACGCAGACTGGTATGTCTAGCGGATCTTAAGCCCGCCCCCTTAGACCACTCGGGCAAGATACCACGCCGAACCGCATCAAAACCGACGTCTCGGACGCGCACTTTCCTCCACTCCTGGCGCTCCCCACGACAGCGCAACCTTATTTCCTGCTTGCACGTCGACAGCACGCAGCTCATGGGCTGCTTCTCGCCTGCCTGGGAACAGCGCAACATCTCTCAAGAAGTGACACCATAACTTCTCCCACACCCAATCTGTCCGACATCAGTCCCTAGCAAATCACGCGTCCAGCTCACCCACACAGGGTCATCAGCCATAAAGTACCAGGTGGCCCATGTCTCTGGCTCGTGAGGAAAATAAATTACCGATGGCAAAGTGCACATCCTTCTCAAGTCGCACAGCGCGATTATACGCTGCGCCGCACACAACACCACAAGTTGTAGAAGGATTGCTTTGGTATCTGTGGGGTTTGAACCCACGCAGACTGGTATGTCTAGCGGATCTTAAGTCCGCCCCCTTAGACCACTCGGGCAAGATACCACGCCAAACCGCATCAAAACCGACGTGTCGGGCGCGCACTTTCCTCCACTCCTGGCGCTCCCCACGACAGCGCAACCTCATTTATCCTTGCACGTCGACAGCACGCAGCTCATAGGCTGCTTCTCGCCTGCCCGGGGACACCGCAACATCTCTCAAGAAGTGCACCATACCTTCTCCCACACCCAATCTGTCCGACATCAGTCCCTAGCAAATCACGCGTCCAGCTCACCCACACAGGGTCATCAGCCATAAAGTACCAGGTGGCCCATGTCTCTGGCTCGTGAGGAAATAAATTACAGATGGCAAAGTGCAGCAGCACACATCCTTCTCAAGTCGCACAGCGCGAATACACGCTGCGCCGCACACAGCACCACAAGGTGTAGAAGGATAGCTTTGGTATCTGTGGGGTTTGAACCCACGCAGACTGGTATGTCTAGCGGATCTTAAGTCCGCCCCCTTAGACCACTCGGGCAAGATACCACGCCAAACCGCGTCAAAACCGACGTCTCGCACGCGCACTTTCCTCCACTCCTGTCGCTCCCCACGACAGCGCAACCTCATTTCTGCTTGCACGTCGACAGCACGCAGCTCATGGGCTGCTTCTCGCCTGCCCGGGGACACCGCAACATCTCTCAAGAAGTGACACCATAACTTCTCCCACACCCAATCTGTCCGACATCAGTCCCTAGCAAATCACGCGTCCAGCTCACCCACACAGGGTCATCAGCCATAAATGACCAGGTGGCCCATGTCTCTGGCTCGTGAGGAAAATAAATTACCGATGGCAAAGTGCAGCAGCACACATCCTTCTCAAGTCGCACAGCGCGATTACACGCTGCGCCGCACACAACACCACAAGGTGTAGAAGGATAGCTTTGGTATCTGTGGGGTTTGAACCCACGCAGACTGGTATGTCTAGCGGATCTTAAGCCCGCCCCCTTAGACCACTCGGGCCAAGATACCACGCCAAACCGCATCAAAACCGACGTCTCGGACGCGCACTTTCCTCCACTCCTGGCGCTCCCCACGACAGCGCAACCTTATTCCTGCTTGCACGTCGACAGCACGCAGCTCATGGGTTGCTTCTCGCCTGCCCGGGGACACCGCAACATCTCTCAAGAAGTGACACCATAACTTCTCCCACACCCAATCTGTCCGACATCAGTCCCTAGCAAATCACGCGTCCAGCTCACCCACACAGGGTCATAAACCATAAATTACCAGGTGGCCCATGTCTCTGGCTCGTGAGGAAAATAAATTACCGATGGCAAAGTGCAGCAGCACACATCCTTCACAAGTCGCACAGCGCGAATACACGCTGCGCCGCACACAACACACACCAAGGTGTAGAAGGATAGCTTTGGTATCTGTGGGGTTGAGCCCACGCAGACTGGTATGTCTAGCGGATCTTAAGTCCGGCCCCCTTAGAACACTCGGGCAAGATATCACGCCAAACCCGCATCAAAACCGACGTCTCGGGACGAGCACTTCCCTCCACTCCTGGCGCTTTCCCACGACAGCGCAACCTCATTTCTGCTTGCACGTCGACAGCACGCAGCTCATGGGCTGCTTCTCGCCTGCCCGGGGACACCGCAACATCTCTCAAGAAGTGACAGCATAACTTCTCCCACACCCAATCTGTCCCGACATCAGTCCCTAGCAAATCACGCGTCCAGCTCACCCACACAGGGTCATCAGCCATAATTACCAGGTGGCCCATGTCTCTGGCTCGTGAGGAAAATAAATTACCGATGGCAAAGTGCAGCAGCACACATCCTTCACAAGTCGCACAGCGCGAATACACGCTGCGCCGCACACAACACCACAAGGTGTAGAAGGATAGCTTTGGTATCTGTGGGGTTTGAGCCCACGCAGACTGGTATGTCTAGCGGATCTTAAGTCCGCCCCCTTAGACCACTCGGGCAAGATACCACGCCAAACCGCATCAAAACCGACGTCTCGGACGCACTCTTTCCTCCACTCCTTGCGCTCCCCACGACAGCGCAACCTCATTTATACTTGCACGTCGACAGCACGCAGCTCATAGGCTGCTTCTCGCCTGCCCGGGGACACCGCAACATCTCTCAAGAAGTGACACCATAACTTCTCCCACACCCAATCTGTCCGACATCAGTCCCTAGCAAATCACGCGTCCAGCTCACCCACACAGGGTCATCAGCCATAAAGTACCAGGTGGCCCATGTCTCTGGCTCGTGAGGAAAATAAATTACCGATGGCAAAGTGCAGCAGCACACATCTTTCTCAAGTCGCACAGCGCGAATACACGCTGCGCCGCACACAACACCACAAGGTGTAGAAGGATAGCTTTGGTATCTGTGGGGTTTGAACCCACGCAGACTGGTATGTCTAGCGGATCTTAAGTCCGCCCCCTTAGACCACTCGGGCAAGATACCACGCCAAACCGCATCAAAACCGACGTCTCGGACGCGCACTTTCCTCCACTCCTGGTGCACTCCACGACAGCGCAACCTTATTCCTGCTTGCACGTCGACAGCACGCAGCTCATGGGCTGCTTCTCGCCTGCCCGGGGACACCGCAACATCTCTCAAGAAGTGACACCATAACTTCTCCCACACCCAATCGTTCCGACATCAGTTCCTAGCAAATCACGCGTCTAGCTCAGGGTCATCAGCCATAAAGTACCAGGTGGCCCATGTCTCTGGCTCGTGAGGAAAATAAATTACCGATGGCAAAGTGCAGCAGCACACATCCTTCACAAGTCGCACAGCGCGAATACACGCTGCGCCGCACACAACACCACAAGGTGTAGAAGGATAGCTTTGGTATCAGTGGGGTTTGAACCCACGCAGACTGGTATGTCTAGCGGATCTTAAGTCCGCCCCCTTAGACCACTCGGGCAAGATACCACGCCAAACCGCATCAAAACCAACGTGTCGGGCGCGCACTTTCCTTCACTCCTGGCGCTCCCCACGACAGCACAACCTCATTTATACTTGCACGTCGACAGCACGCAGCTCATGGGCTGCTTCTCGCCTGCCCGGGGACACCGCAACATCTCTCAAGAAGTGACAGCATACCTTCTCCCACACCCAATCTGTCCGACATCAGTCCCTAGCAAATCACGCGTCCAGCTCACCCACACAGGGTCATCAGCCATAAAGTACCAGGTGGCCCATGTCTCTGGCTCGTGAGGAAAATAAGCTACCGATGGCAAAGTGCAGCAGCACATATCCTTCTCAAGTCGCACAGCGCGATTACACGCTGCGCCGCACACAACACCACAAGGTGTAGAAGGATAGCTTTGGTATCTGTGGGGTTTGAACCCACGCAGACTGGTATGTCTAGCGGATCTTAAGCCCGCCCCCTTAGACCACTCGGGCAAGATAATACGCCAAACGCATCAAAACCGACGTCTCGGACGCGCACTTTCCTCCACTCCTGGCGCTCCACACGACAGCGCAACCTTATTTCTGCTTGCACGTCGACAGCACGCAGCTCATGGGCTTCTTCACGCCTGCCCGGAGACACCGCAACATCTCTCAAGAAGTGACACCGTACCTTCTCCCACACCCAATCTGTCCGACATCAGTCCCTAGCAAATCACGCGTCCAGCTCACCCACACAGGGTTATCAGCCATAAATTACCAGGTGGCCCATGTCTCTGGCTCGTGAGGAAAATAAACTACCGATGGCAAGGTGCAGCAGCACACATCCTTCACAAGTCGCACAGCGCGATTACACGCTGCGCCGCACACAACACCACAAGGTGTAGAAGGATAGCTTTGGTATCTGTGGGGTTTGAACCCACGCAGACTGGTATGTCTAGCGGATCTTAAGCCCGCCCCCTTAGACCACTCGGGCAAGATACCACGCCAAACCGCATCAAAACCGACGTCTCGGACGCGCACTTTCCTCCACTCCTGGCGCTCCCCACGACAGCGCAACCTCATTTATACTTGCACGTCGACAGCACGCAGCTCATGGGCTGCTTCTCGCCTGCCCGGGGACACCGCAACATCTCTCAAGAAGTGACACCATAACTTCTCCCACACCCAATCTGTCCGACATCAGTCCCTAGCAAATCACGCGTCCAGCTCACCCTCGAAGGGCCATCAGCCATAAATTACCAGGTGGCCCATGTCTCTGGCTCGTAAGGAAAATAAATTACCGATGGCAAAGTGCAGCAGCACACATCCTTCACAAGTCGCACAGCGCGAATACCGCTGCGCCGCACACAACACCACAAGGTGTAGAAGGATAGCTTTGGTATCTGTGCAGTGTTGTTTAATTAACATATTTATACTTTATTAACTTAAAAAGGGATGGTAATAATGTAAAAATCATTTTTATTAAGTAAAATGAGTTGCTTTGCCTATATCACTATTAGTGATCAACGGCGATCGGCTAGTGGCGGACCTGCGCGATTTCCAAGACCTGCTGATGATCAAGAAACGCGATCTGGATGAATGGGCACGACAGGAGAAGGCTGCTCAAGCAGCGTTCCTGACGCTTGGTGAGCGGCGGCACGGGGTCAAGTGCTACACCTCGCCTACAGAGTGAAAAGCAGTCGCGCTTCAACCAGCTGGACGTCGTGGTGCCGCTCAGTACGCGGCAACTATGTTGTCTTGAAGCTCCGTCTCCGACTCAGCAGAACTCGACGCTACCTGCTCAAGCTGCTGGCTGCCTCGTGTTCACCACTGAGCGCATCGAGTCGCTGCAAGCAGAGAACAAGAAGCTGCGTCAACAGTTCCGAGACCTCCACAAACAGCAGAACGTGCTTGCTAAGGAGAAGCGTCAGCAGCAAGAAGCCATTGCAAGAGATCAGGACCGCAGCGAGCAGCTCATGCGACTGAAATTTGGACAGCTAGTGGACCTGGAGGTGCTGGATCGCGCTTGTGACGCGTCTTCGGTGGACGAGTTGCAGACTCGTGTCAAGTTACGCGAGGTCGAAGGTGAGCGATCTCTGCGTCATTGCATACCGAAATCCATCCCACTGGATAAAAAGACGCTGATACTAAGAATAAAATTAATTGACGCCATATTTGATTCAGGTTAATGGAGCGGTTGCATACCGTCCAGTAGAGGGCGGCGTTTGCCTTCCCGCCAGTACGTGTGAAAAGCGCGCTAAGTTCGCCTGGGGGGCGACCGGATTTAGCAGGAGGGCGAACAACAATCATGGATCTCGGCGAAAGTCTTGTGGAGTTGGAAGAGAACGAAGAACTGGCTTAAATTTCGAGCTAGGATTCGAAAGATCCGAAGCTAGAAGTAGCTCGCTAACTG